GTACTCAGCATTGGCTAGTTCCTTCTGTCGGCGCACTTGAAAATGCGTTAGCCAGCGACTGTGCTTGGTTTTGTGCCTGTAGAGCTATGTAGAAAAGTATTTGCAAGAAGTTTCTGAGACTGCGAATCGTCTGTTGGACATTGCCTTGAACATCCAAGCCCAGTGGAGATTGATACGTACTATTTTGGTCACTCCTTTTTGGATTTTCGCCTTTGGACGGCACTGCGGGCCAGCAGACAAGCAGACTGCCTTCGAGCTAGGTTATGGGCTCTGCCCTTACCATCTACTGTCTTTTGTAAGTTGCTTGTAGAGCGATTTGGGGCCGGAACCTCTGGAACTGAAGAGTCTCGCTAGCAAAAGTAGAAACTGCACGCCCGCATGCCACTTCCAGTAATTTTCTGAGCTTCAATATTTGAAGTGCATCCGCCACTTGCTGCAACTCTCTGCTTTTTTTTAGTTCTTCAAAGAGGCTGCGGCCGAAGCTACAAAGCAGCCAGGGCTTCAGAACTGGGCTATACGGTTTATTGGGAAGTGGGCTAAGTCTATTGAAGCCCAGACGCTCCCGGAGATGGCTGGAGAGCCCACTGAAGTGTTCCTCGAGCAGCAGGTGCAAAATTTGCCTCAGCTCCATCCAGACCTATTCTATAGTAGAGGAGGCAAGATATTCAAAGTGTCTCCTTTTCAAAAGTAGTCATGAATAAGGCGCTAGTAGCGCCGCAGGCTAGACATATGGTAGCTCTTTCCAGTTTACCATGCAAGGAAGTGGACTGGAAAGTGTTGGAATGCCTGTGGCTTTTGTTGAGCCAGCATTGTGACTCATCGCAAATGCCAAACTGGCTTTTGCTACAACTAACTCATGTAATACCTTTTGAAGAAGCGGAAGCACCATGGTTCCATGGCATTGGCCAATTTCTGGCACACGCGTGGGCAAAGGGCGTTTTTCATGGAAAAGGAAAAGTACCGAGAAAGCCCTTTTGCGAACCGCAGACTCTCTGCAACAGTGCCATTTCGCTAGAGCGGTCAGACGATACTTAGTTTGATAAGCGCAGCGTTGGCATCTGCATTCAAGTGCAAATCGTTTTGAATTTATATTTTTTAGCATTGAAATAGAAGCGGTTTAATTTAGTTTTAGGGACTGCAGCATATCCTGTCTTTGGAGGGGAAACGTTATAACAGTGGAAAGCCAGAGGCCGCGAGCATATCCATAGTAACAGAGCTTCGTCTAGTTGCCTTGATTCTTTCTCTTCTGGTTGTCGGCGGCCAAGGTTAGGAATACCACACATTATAAAATTTACGTGTTAGAACGATTTTATTAAAAAACTAGAAGTGCATGAATTAAAATAAATATTTTTTATGACTGAGAAGTTGGCACGGAATGCAGTTAGAGATGTGCGTCGAAACAGCTCACTGAAGGGTCACTTGAAGCTCCTAGCAGAGCCTAAGGTACCGTTGAATTAACGCTCTCCAGTACATATGGAGCCCAAAAAGCTCTGGAAGCACAAGGTGTCTTCTGGCCTTCCCAAGCCGTTCATAACTTCATGCTGGCCTCAGATACCCTCTAATGTTTTTTTGCGTTCTCGTCCCCAACAGTCTCTAGGACGGTGGCGCTATGGTGTAGTTGGTGGCCCTTGTGGTAACTACGCACAATGAATATCATGAAGAGCAGCTCTTGGGACACACGAGTCAAGGTTCAATCCAAAGGTGCCCTAGCGAAAGCAAAGGCCAAAGCGTCCTATTGTGAAGCAGGAATCCACGAGCAACTAGCTTACGCCAACGGGACAATGCGCAACGCACAGGCTGCTGCAACCCTTTGACGTACGGAAGGGACAATTTCAGTTCTTTAGCTCTACAGCACTGTAGCATAGTTGTCGCCCCTATGGTTTCTCCAGTCAACCAAACTCACGGTGTCACTCAGATCTTGACGGTGGACACTGGTGCCCAACGCCACCCAGAAGCAAATACTTATGCTACCAACAAACCGAAAGTTCAGTCTATATGTCGTCTCTCAGCATTTGGGCAGACTACTCTGGCGAGACGTTGAGAAACTGCTATAACCGGTAGGGTGACGAACTAATGACAAAAGTGTCAATGGCGTACACTTTAACCGGAGCGATCGGCAGCAGGCAGGCTGAAAACTGCGCCAAAGAAAGTATGGTTGTGTGGAAAGCGCTGGCCTGAATCAGGGTGGAATCTGGTGGGATGTTGGGCAGACTGGGCGGGGAGCCCGCTCGCAGGGCTACGCAGGTATGCCGCCAGCGCTTTTGTCCGGTCAGTTAAGCTCGATTGTTGTTCTGGTTACCCTTTCTGCCATCTTTCACTCCACTTGGTAGGTATGCTGACCATGGTGACTACAGTTCAGTTGCGGTAGCTCTCGAAGGTCACAGCTGAAGAACGGAAAGAAATGCTTTGTGCATTCTTGCGTTGCAGAATATCAGTGACGTTCTTAATGGTGCAAGCTCCGCAGTAAGAAAAGCTCAGTTTGCATCCCGTTTTGCGTAATGCTGTTCAAGATAGAGGCTTCATTTTGTTGACAGAAAAAGTTCATTTTCTCAGGCAGAGCTCAGTCTTTGGCTCTTGGCCTCAAGATCAGAACCAGGGGAAAGCTTGCATTGGCGTTTTCCAGTACAGGAGTGATGAATTCAGCCAATATCAAGTTTAAGATGAGTGGAAAAGAACAGTGTACGTTCTTCAAGCACCTGCTTCCAGGAGGCTACTTATGCGTCTGCAGAAAGGGTAACCCCAACAACAATCGAGCTTAACCGACCCCATCAGAGAGCTGGGAGCTCCACGCAGAAAGTTAGTGCAAACATTTGAGCAGACACACGATACTCACAGTAGGACACCCAAATAGTAAATTATTAGCTTCTTGAAATAAAGCGTGCCACCGTACGAGGAAACTTCGCGAGAACTAAATAGGTTTTCCGGATTATCTGGGGCACAGAATTTTTAACGGTCTTGCCACTTTAGACCCCTCTTGGGTATTGTTGCAGAGTCCTCATGGTGTAGCATCCCTCAAAGCGCTCCCGTTCTTCCAACTGGTTCCCCAAAGCTACTTCAATGCTCCCTTGCAGCACGCATCACCAGACAGCAACCGGGTATTGTTACGCCTGATTCATGCCTACAACACCCTGGACCATTAATTATAATATGTATGGCCTTTTCATGCCACAAAAAGATGAACGGGCAGTGGCATTTGCATCAGGAGCTGGTAACTCTGCATGCGCTCTGTGCTAAGCTGGTCAGACTGTGCATGCGCTCTGCAACACAGCTAGACCATTATGCTGAAGTTTACGATGCAGACAAGGCAGCCGCCGTTAAAAATATTAAAAACTCGTGCAGTTGCTTGAAAAATAGCTTCCGGTGCCTCGCATGGTTTAGTGAAAATGGCTCGCGGTTCAGTGCTTCCAGGGACTCCTCCAGACTCATCAGTGAATGTCCATCCTGGGCGCATAAATGTCGGACAGCATTTGCCCTATACCGGCAGGGAGGTTGAAATTTTCTCTCGATATGGCTACTTCTACCCTCCAGGGTACCTACCCAATACCGTCTACGGAGGAGTCAGAGGATTCGCGAGATCTCTTACGACCTCACAATTTGGCATGAAGAACACTGTGCGCAATTGCCATAAAATTAAGATGAGCCCGCACTATAAAAGCTCACCTTGCCAACTTACTGCCGCATCATCTTGACAGATTCCCGATGGCGGAGGCGGCTATCAGCAGTGGTCCTTGCGTGCTGTGTGATTTATTATTCCGCAGTATCTAAAGTCTTTCGCCATTGGCGCCGCAAAGTTTGCTGGATGCTTCCTTCTTTTCTACCTGCCTCTCGATAATGTATATTGCGATCTTCGCAAGAAGGTGAGACAAGTGGCTTTCTGTTCGCAAGCTTTCAGGCAGTCACTTCTTCTGTTTTTTCATTAGTGTGAAGTTTGTGTAGCCATAACTTGACGCAACTGAGGCAGACAATAATACAAGGTCTTTGCATCTGCGTTGGGGGTGTTTTTTCAGCAACGCGAGAGACGTGCAAAGATGAGGGGCAACTAGGTACGACATCCCACCAAAACCGTATTCAACATTTAGCCACATAGGTTCAAAAGAAAACGCTCAACAGTACTTCCCGAGCCTTGAATTCAGGCTCGGCCCTCATCGTAGACTTTGTTTGCGTTCGAACACGAGGTCTCACGAAGGGGCGCTGACTTTGAGCGAACTTCCCTTATATCCCCGGAGGCGAAGTGAGCCATGTCAGTTTTACTTCGGTGCAAGCAGCGTACTGCCCTCAGCCTTACCAAAATAGGTCAAGAATGCTACCATCTCAGCTGGAAAAGCGCGTTCTCCAGGACCCACGAGTGCCACCTCTGGGAGGCTTAGAATACAAATAGCTTCTCGAAAGTTCCCATTGGGTCGCTGCGAGTGGCTGAATTAATGTGTTTGTTACCATGCGGGCTTGACTACCGCGCAAGTGCAACAGAAGGACATGCGTTATTTCGGCGTTTAAGGCAGTATCGACTGGTCCGTCAGTTGCTTCTCTGATCAGCGCTTTAACTGGACAGCAGCTACTTATAAAGACAATTAGATACATGCCAAATGCACAGACAGCTAGAGTCCCACCAAACCGCAGCTGCTGCCAATGGTTGCTAAAACGCTGTTTTCAGGCGTTTGCCGTGAAGTAGTTCAGATGCGACAGTATGAGATCCGGTGCATTAGACGCAGTATGAACGACGGCAAATAACCCACTCCCTCAATACACCTCTACTTCACAGATAGGATACTGTTGCGAATTGAGGCTGTCGTTGTGCCATTTAGGTTGTAAACTGCATAGAGGTGCCTAACATTTAGGTTTATCGGTTCACGCTGTCCGCCGCTGTAATGATTATTCAGCGATTGAATGAGATATGTGAGTTATCCACAAGTCCAAAACTATTTGGATATTCCGCCAGTCTTAGACGACTTGCAGCGCTGTATAAGGGTTACAATAAAAGTGGCCGCCAAAACGCGGTCCATTTAGTCATCATACATCAACTGCATTTGTTCGTGAACTACTACGGCGTCTAGGTCAATGGCAGTGCAGTTGCTGATAGCATACAGGAGGCGTTCGCGCATGACGCTCACTGAAGAATACAGCGGCACAACCAAGCGGAAGCTGCAGGTGGCAGCAGTTGGCAGCCGGTTGTCGTTGATGGCGGGGAGGCGCTGCTGAAGGCACACAAGAGAGCAGCACACACAGGTACACGTGGCGGTGTGTCCATTTGAAGAATTTGCATCTGCTGGACGAAGCCCGCTGATGCAGTGCCATGTAAGAGGATGAAACGACTGCTGTTCTGAAGCTGGCTTCAAGTATTTCAGAGGACTCAAATACTCAGGAGGGAATGTGCAGCCTCGTACGTCGGGATTTTCGTAGTCCACAGTCATGCGCCAATCATTGCTTGAGGTTGGTAGGCGAGAGCGACCACACACAAATCTGCAGACAGTAGTCCGAAACCACATGCACTTCACCAGAGATGACAGGTGCTGGCAGCGCATCAAGCCAGAAGCATCCGTATACGCTAAGAGACAGAAACATCCTACATGAAGACCAAACCACTTCGCGTCTGGCCCCCCTGCTGGACGGCGTTCTTCAGATACAGTGGAAAGCAATGCGAGTTTGAACGGGAACTTCGTGGGCGCGCTTTTTCGCGTCTAGGTTGTTCAGAACATCCGCTTGCCTGAGAAAACGTTGCATCTGCTCGTTGTTGAACGACTCGAGTATTTCAAAAAGTTGTCCTTTTAGTCTTTCAGATGAGCATTCCGTGTGCTCTTTGAGCTTGGCGACGTCCACCTTGCGGTCCCCACACACACGATGTTCCAGTCGCCTGCACACCCCACGAAAATGAAGTGCATCTTTACAATTGTACGACAGAAAGCCACGATAAGGCCGTATAGCTGGCTCTCTAAAAGTAGGAGTTGGCGCAGTTCCGTTTGTCGTTTCTAGAACAACATTCTTGTGCGCGCCAGCGAGGGTCCTCACCTCCAGTCAAAAAGCAGTCGCAGTCGACCTAGGGGCAAAACTGCTGCAATGCCTCGCAGAATGGCTTCAACACCTTCCGTCCCTTCAAGCAAGCGGAACCGCTCTGAGAGGCGAATGAAAGTAACCAGGTTAAATGCGTCGACAGGGATATTCGCTCCACCTTCAACCAGCTCAAAAGATCTCCCTAGAGTATCTTCTGTGCTGAACGTCATGTCTGATAGCGATGCTTCCATTGTGGAGTCCCAGTACTGCGGCGGCACCGCAGCCATGCGCCGAAGGGAACGGATCATTTCAACGGCCACGCAGTCAGAGTCAGCCAGATCCTGAGCAACTCAATTAGTCAACACAGGAAATTATTGAATTCCCTCGTTTGGCACATCAATCACCGTGGTTGTACACGTGGTCGTACATTTACTTCACAAAACGGTGCGCCACTGATTTGTTTGAAAGCCTGTAGACGCTGTTACTCACGTCAATAGTCAGCGGTGCGGCGACCAGCTTCTTCCACAAAAGAGGGTTCAAGGTAACGTTGAATGCGCTCCCGATGCAGAAACACATGGCCATAAGGCGACCGAGAGCTTCGTACATGAGAATGTACATGGTTTCTTCAGTTACGGTGTCTTCTTCTGCCCTGGAAAGCGTCCCATTTGCGTTCAAAGGTGTGGGCGCTGCTTGCATTTCTTCACGGCGAGACACCGCAGCTTGGAATGGATCCTCCTGAGGAATTCTATCCGGGAGCCCTGCATCTTCAGCGCGATGACCTCGAGGAAGAACACGCCGCGCCGGGGAAGGAAGAGCGCCTAAAATGGTGTCAGATGTCCAAAGGGTGTCAATGTGCAACTGCCGGCGAAGTCGACCTTGCGGGGGGCTGCAATGACCATTACTTAAATTGCTGCGGATACTCTGCGGACCCTCGCCGAATTCAGCATGTGAGCTGCGATCCGGTTGCGAGCCCACAGACTGGACTGGTTCCTGCGTGACTGTATCTGGTGAGACCTCCGCGTAACTTGGTGAACCATCATTTCCTCCTGAGGTATTGGGTAGCGCTGGTGGTAGCAGGTCTGAGGCGGAGACCAAAGGGTCTGGAAGCGGTGCAGATGGATCAGGGCGGAGCACTACGGAGTCCTGATGGGGCCCAATGGCATGCGTAGAGTTAAAGGACGGAAGACATGCAAGGAAGGTGGGGAGAAGCTCATCGGGAGATTCCGCCAGGGGACCCATGACCTCATTAGCTACTCCAGAAAGGAACTCTTGAAAGGGGCCGCCAAAATCTGTTGCCCCTTCTCCTCGAAAAACTACCAGAAAAGGTCTCTCTCCAGGTCTTGCTCTAAGTTTGCACGGGCTTGCTGCTGCCGAAAGGAGCTGCACAGTGGCCTGATACCAGAGAGTGTGGGCCAAGACCTTCGCTGTAGCTGCCTGGCCTCGGTCCAGCTTCAAAGAGGGTTGCTCGCGGCCTGAATATCCTAGCTTTTCTATGATGTTGCGCCACAAAGTGCTGGATGTCAAATTTGTCAGTAGCGGACGAAGGAAGAGGTAGGCGCTCATTTCTATAGGCAAGTCGGATGGGCCCACCTGCAACACCATTTTGCTGCTGCTGTATGACCGCCGCTTTAGCAGCTCTGTAACCCCTAAGCTGCCGTCCCCCAGACGAGTCGGAATGGTACCTCGGAGGAAGCTCACCCCAGAGTGAGCCGTCAGCAATCCATAGTAATCTAAAGGTAGCTTGGGGATATTGAAAACCGGTGCGATGATGGGCACAGCGCCACTGGCACAGGAACATAGATGTTCCAGTAGCCGTAGTCTCAAGCCAATGACCTGCTGCAGTAGCACCTCGACAGATGAGGCGGGAGCCACGCCGCACGAGGCTTCACTGATCTGCGCGTCACACACAAAGCGCCCAATGCAGTCCCAATCAAGGTTAGACAGCTCCGTTTGCAGTTTGGGATCCCACACAACAGGAGTGGATTTAAAGCGGCAAAATACTGAAACAGAAATGAGGGGCAGCGATACGTGCGCAACGGTCGTAGTAAAGCTAAGACGGGTGACCTCGCCAAGACAGCAAGGCTTTGCAGAGGGACAGGAGACTCACAAGGGCAAGGACTTGTTTTTTGAGCGCGGCAGCTTGCTCGATCTCTTCTAAAGAATCCCGCTTCTTCCCTGGGGAGCCGCAGCTGCTGTCTAAAGCTAAGAAGCTGTCGCGATCCTTGTCTGCCTTCCAGATGAGAGCTGCGATGCGCATGTGCTTATCTGGCTGGGGCACACTTCTGCCCTCTTCCAGGCCGTCAAATACGTCGAGCAACTGCCTAAGCCAGATGTCGAACTTCGGTGGCCAAATGCGCATGACTGCTTGCAGGATAACATCGTCTGCGTCTAGAACAGATCTCACCATCAACATGCCCAAGCTCCCACTAGAAACTCCTTCCTGAAGCAAAAGCGGAGGAACTTCATGCACTTGCATTCCCGTGACTTCCTCGAACAGCTGCATGTCTGGCGTCCACACAAGGCCTCCTGGTCCTCCCAAGGCTATTTGATAACCTGAATCTCTGGCAACTTTCTGACGCCACATGTGCCGTTGTACTCCATCGACCCAACCCCTGCGAGTGCATCCCTCTATCTTTGCTGCGGCGGTGTCGAGAGGCAGAAGCAGACTAATGAGGTCCCCGACGCTCTCAGCAGCCTCGGCGCATGCAACGAGGCGTTGAAGACCATTACTCTGCGAAGAAGTGGGAGCTTGCCGGCCCCTGTTATATCTGTGACGGGAGCCGTCAGACCTCCGGGGAACTGCAGGGATGGCGCGTGGGCCCCGAGGCGAAGCATTTGTCTGTTGCTGCCCAGGTTGCATGCGCTGTTCTGTTGTCTGGTGCTCTTCCAGAACCTGTAGCCTCCTTACGATTGCCACAAACACTTTCTGAAGAGATCCGAAGTCCTCCGCTACGGAAATACTGCGCAGAAGAGACCCAGAGAGGGCCGGCAAGGGGGGGCGGAGAGGAGCTGGCTGGCCCTCTGGGCAAGCGGGATCCGTCAAGTCCCCATTCAGGTCAAGGCCCCACACCAGCAGCTGTTGCAGCAATGTCCGCACGTCAGCATTTGCCAAGGGCAAGTTGCCATCTACGGGCCGCAAGAGCGAGAAAGGCACTTGGGCACAATTAGAACCTGAAGAAGTCCGTAAGCCGAGGTTGCCATCCATCGCTCCTGATGAAGGACCACCGAAGAAACGGGGAGCCTGAGTCCCCAATGCTGAGCCATTCGAGATCAGGCTCGTTGAAGTCCGGCCCGCTCTACTGGAAAGACCCATGCCTGCCAGTTCTACGCTGTCCCCAGTGTTGCTTCTCGAGGGCTGCGAAGAAGGCTTCAGCGCAGGTAACTTTCGCACGTCCACCTGTCCTCGAGTCTCTTCACCCCGCATTTCCGCAGAAGATTGAGGGAAACTTGAAGGCCGCCCTGTCTTAGGCGAAGGCGCGTAAGAAGTCCCGCAAAGCCAATCTGCTGCCATGCGAGGCGACCTTTCGGATTCGTTCATTTGCGCATCGCGACGCTCGCCGTCAATGTACAAACTGTGGACGCTGAATGCCACCTCATCAACTCCCCCAACCACCACAGTGCAGTTCGCGAGCAGCGAGCCCCACCTCCACGGAATGCATGCTTCAGCTCCTCTGACCTTTGGGAAAGCTCCGCCAAACTTCGGAAAATTTGGCGTGGCACTTGCCGCAATGCTCAGTTGCTGCAGCTGAGCTGCAAGCGCAGCGTAACGCAACAGTCTGGCCAGCGCCTCTAGCCCCTCCTGGAAGCCATCACCTTTGGAACCGATGAGTTCCACGGGAGTCAGGCCCGCGTCGTTCTTTAGAGAACAGTCCGCCCCGAGAGAGAGCAGCAGCTTAATTGTGTTGTAGTAGCCGCGTCTGTGGACCGGCACCGCTGAGCAAAGTCTTCCTCCTGAGAGGGGCTGCCCAGCAGCCCTGAGAGCCATTCTGTGAAGCACACAGTTTCCTTCTGCGTCCCTGCGGTTTATGTTAAGCCCATAGTTGCACACAAGCATTGAGACAATCAAGTCCTGGCCCAGCTCAGCAGCCAACATCAGCGGAGTCACCCTTTCGCTGCCGTCTCCCACCCCATCCGGGTTGCAGCCTCCTGCCTCAATCAGCATTTGAACAACATCTGCATAGCCTTTCTTTATTGCGAGTTTCAGGGGCGTGTCGTTCTCATACTCTCCATACACTGCCGAGATGTGCTGCTGCAGCTGCTCGCTTTGCCACTGGGCGTTGCTGCCGCTACTGGTGCTGCTGCTGCCATTAGCCCATACGAACATCTGCTGCTCCAGAGAGCCAAATGTGCAGCTGCCCGGCGTGGCTGCTGCATCCTGCGTTTCGAGCCAGTCTGGGTACTGTGAAAAAAAGGTGGAGAGCCACCGCAGGTTCCTCTCTTTAATAGCTTGGAAAAGCGCATGCACAGTCCCCTGATGCGAGTCCGAGAGTCGAGCTGACGCTGGCGTACTAGTAAACGTGAAGTTTCTGAAGCCCCCTGTGTTACATGTGGAGACCAACTCAGTGCTTCTCGTTCGCACGGGAGGAAAATACACTGCCTCTCTGTTCTTGGCTGAAGGGCTCCCGGAAAGCTGCAGCAACTGTTGCTGCTGCTGCTGTTGTAGCTGCTGTTGCTGTTGTTGTTGCTGTTGCGGCTGCTGTAGCTGTTGTTGCTGCTGCATTAGTACCTGCTGCTGTTGCTGCACGAGGTGTTGTTGCTGCTGTAGAGAGCGGGCAGCACGGCTTGGCGCCCATTGGTAGAACTTATCGAAATTGAAGCCGAATTGGTAGACGTCGTTCTTCTTGAAGAGAAGCGCCGGAATGGCCGGCTGGAACTCGATCTCTAACGTGTCTCTGATGGTAAAGCCCGAGATCCCCCGAGTCAGCTGTATCTCTCTCCAGCCTTCTGAAGGGATCTTTGAGTCCCGACGGACATGAGGAGGTCCTCCCGCATGCAACCGCATGAGCTCCCCTAGCGGCAAATCCACAGGGCAAGACAATCGGCCGTTAGAAAACCAGAGCCAACGGCAGTAGCCCCAGACAATTCCCACCATCTGCGGCCCTGCTGCTCCTCCTGCCCAGCAGTTTCCCTTAAACTGCACGCGGAAAGGCAGCGCTGGATGAACAGTGCCCACGTCCAGAGGGGCCCCTGCAAAGCCACAGTCCTGCGGCTCTGTCCTCACACTGCTGGGAAGGCCTTGCTGGCGGGTGTTGAGAGTGCAGGGAGACCCTCGGGCAGGCCGAGGGCCCACTATGGGAGCCGGCGAAAGCACTGCTCTTGTGGTTGCTGCAGCGGGAGCAGCAGAAGTCCCCAGCTGCTGAGAGCTGGGGCGGTCCCCCTGTCCACTTGTCAGGTCCCCAAAGGCGGTGACGGAGCTAATCTGGCGGGAGTCTGCTGCGATGCCAACATCCCAGGAGTCCGTCGTACATTGGCCAGTAGACGCCGCAGCCCTCGCGGCCTCCAGGTCTTCTAAGGGAAACTCGCTGAGGCCTTCCTCCGTGGGAACCCTGCTTGAGTCAGGCCGCCGCACCCACTTCCACACGGACGAAGAGTAAGTTGACGGTGCCCCAATGGGGAGCCGCACACTGACTCCTCCTCGGATCTTTGGGTGAAGTGCCAAGACGCGCCAAGTGCTGCTCAGAGAGTTGCTGCTGCCCGATGTGTCTAAAGGGGCAGAGGTACCCCCGGCTGCGAAACTGGGCGCGAAACTTAGTCTGAATAACCCAGAGTCCTCCGCCCTGTCTGGTGGACCCCTGGAATCCCCACTAGCTCTCGAATGGAACAATATTGCAGATGCGTCTGAGTCTGTTCCTGCTGCTGTCAAGCCCTCCGGTCTGCCAGACTGGATTCCAAAAGGACTCAGCAGGCGAACAGGAGTGTCGGCAGGCGAGGCCTCGAGACAATAGAAGACTTCGTTTGTGGGAACAGTGACGGGCCGGCAAGAAACTGAGGACAACGTGGCCGTCAAGACAAGTCCTTCCCAAAGAGAGCAGATCCTAGGAGAGGCACAGAACTCAGCAGTATCCTCTATGACAAGCACAGGCACAACAGTAGTGCATGATGGTGGCAGCATCTGCGCAGCGACGAGATGGTCTTCAGCAAACCACAGCAAGTGGCGTCCAACCGCCCGCAGTACGAAGTTTAGCCTGTGCGGCTGAGCCATAAGCCCCAAGCCGTCTTGTTTGTGAGGGGCTCGAGAAGCCTTTTCAGAGTCTCCGTGCAACCCCAGCAAGACGGCCAGCAACGGTCGACTCTTGCGGACTCGCTGGCTTTGCGGCCCCCAGTGGCGGCTTGGCATCTCTGGGTGAAAGGAAGACCTGAGCTCCCTTGCAGTAAGCTGCACCAGCGTTGCGTCTGAGACCCCATCCCAAGTTCCCTCCAGCAGACGGCTCCAGTACTTGCAATCCACAGCCCCAATGAAGATCCGGCCCAGCGGGGCACCATCTTCAATGGTCTTAAGACCGCAGCTGTCGTTTCCGGCAGAACGCACTGTTAAGGAAATGACGCAGGACGCGGAAGAGCTTCCGCACTGTAAAGGAACGCTGCTGCAGGCGTAGCTACAGCCCCCTGAGGTGCCGTGCAGGTTCGAAACCTCCAAACGGGTCCGGCCGCCAAAGCTTCTTTTGCCATCTTCCTGGGGTGCTTGCAGAACTTTCATCCTTAAATTATCCATGCCCTGGCCTGCGCGGCTGCACGCTGCTGCGCAGATCCACTCTGGCGTTTCCGTTAGGTTGCCGCTTTCTCCCACCAAGTACTCAAGGTTTCGATCCAGGGCGACGAGAAGCCGTGGAGTCTTCCTGAGCTTCCGTGCCTGGCTGCTGCCCGGGACCATCCCATTTCTCTCTTCCCGAGACTGAGGCTGACCGTCAGTGCCCTGCTGCTGGCCCTCCTCCAGTGGCTCCAAATTCAGCTCCAACCGAGCCCCGGGAAAGGTTTCGACGCTCCCCACAGCGCGGGTGCAGCTGACCGGCTCAGCAAAAGCCACGGAAACCGGCAAAGCCTGAACTGCTCTGATGAAGGGCTGAGAGAAGCCCAAGTGCCCAGGGTCACTCGCAAAGGCCGAGTAAGCTGCACTGGCAAAGCAAGCTGTGTCTTCGCCGCCGCCGCTGTTTGCCGGCGCCGCCTCTTGAGACTGGCCTTCCCCTCTGCTGGAAGCCGCGTACGCCGCCAGGGGCGCAGGCGGCGCCTGGGCACTGAAGCACGAGACTCTGGCGACGCACTCAGCAGCCATGAGGTAAGAGGCAAGATCCGCAAGCACGGGAACACTCGTGTGCTCTACCCAGGTGACAGAGCCCCACCTGTCCGCCTTCAGGATGGACACGCAGGCGTTGGCCAGGTAGTGAGTCAGCAGGCTGCAGTTGATTCTGTACCGCACGTGGACTCTGTTGAGATCTGTTGCGCAGAAACAGTCCAGGCTGGCAGACCGCCAGTTGTTGACTTTCTCCAAGTTGTCAAAGACCGAGGCGCTGATGAAGCAAATGCAGTCGAAGTAGCACTGCAGAAAGCCCAAGAATTGTCGACAAGGGCCAGCAAGTGCAAACGACCCAACAGCCGCCACTGCAGTCTTAACGGCTTTAAAAGCCGCCGCTGATGCCTCGCCTGGTGGCGGCGCAGTGACGCGTGTGACTTCACTAAGCCTCTCGTAGGAAAAGAGGTTATTGTCGCTGCCGAAGGCTGAAGAGCCCTCAGGAACTGCACCTGCAGATAAGCCGTCCAGTGAGGAGATGTCGGGGACAAAGCGCGCAGTCATCCAGTGGGTCATTCTGGCTGCGTCGAGCCCAAGCTTCAGAGGCAAGTTGACTCCATTGATCAGCAGCCCGAAGAGCGCTGCGTAGCTCAAGGGGTTGACAATTGCCCGGCGGATGCTCCCGGGGCACAGCGGGTGCCTTATGAATCCATCCATCAGCCAGTGGCTTACGTAGACGGAGGGCGCAAGAGCGCAGTACTTCGGCGTTCTCTTTGAAACGGAGGCGTTGCTCACCACCTGAGCCACCGAGCCCACCAGGTGGTACAAAAGCTCCGTCTGCAGCACCCGGTGCAGACTTCTGAGACACTCCGTGTCCGTCCACTTCGTGGCCGCCCGATACATCAGCCGCTGCCACCCATACAAAGGACAAGTCACCACGCTGTACCTGTCCAGCTCCGTCAGCAGCGTCTTCGTGGGGTCTGAGTCCAGGTGAAACCGGAAAGGCTGCTGGTAGTCGGGAACGCTGTCATCTGTCTCTCTGCTGATGAAGTACGTGCAAATGCGCAAAAGGCGAATTAGGTTAAGGGCCTTCGGACGGGGCGCTCCCTTCCGCGACTCGCCGGAGCAGCGCGAGGCCAACGGCTCTTTGATGCCCCTGCAGACAGAGAAGATAAAACAAGAAAAAACGCAAGACGAACCAACTGTGCAGCGGCATATGGAGTAAAAGGGCAAGAAATCTCTAAAGATTCTACACAGAAACTTCTAGCGGGCTGCCCAAGCTTTGCCCTGGGCAGTCCAGCCTTTTTGAACATATCGGAAAATGCTAGGGCCACGCGGGAAGCCAGAAGCAGCCCCACGTGTGAGTACAAGGACATACCTGTAGAGTCGCTCCATGATCATGTCGGGACAGAGAGAGACAATAATGCAGAGGAGGTGAAGAGCATCTCTTCTCAGAGCCCACCTCAAGGGGGTCTCCAGGAATCGGTGCAGCATGCGGCTAGACCAGATGGAACAAGCCCCCTCGTAGTTGAACACCCGCGCATCTACAGGGCCTCTCAAATGTATGCTCCCAGTTTCTTGCCTCGGCTTGAGGAGCAGCAAACTCGTGATGGGGGAGTCCCAGCCCCTCCCTATTAGCTGTTCAACTCGCTGCAAGCCCGCGGCCTCGCCCACGCTGGGTCCTGCACAGCGGTCGGCCTCTGTGTTAGGGACAGCGGGGGCTCCGCACAGCTCCGTTTCTATGGCTGTCTCCACTGCCTCGTTCCAGGCCTCGTTGATTTTGTAGACCCACCTCCAGACCTTGGCAGTTTCCCCCGCCGCCAAGACGGCCTGGCCGGAGATGCTGGGGCAGCCGAACCCCTCGGCGCTCAGAATGCTTTCGGGGACCCCACAGAGGCGCGCCATCTTGTCCAACTTCACCTCCTTTTCCGCGCTTCCCGCCTCCGAATCTGCTGCCCGAGAAGGGGCCCCTTCCTCCACTTCGGGGCTGCCAAGGGCGGGGCCCCCCTCGCCTCCTTGGGTATATGCAGCAATGGCTGAGCGCAGGTCTGGCACGCTGGCCGAGCGCACATTCAGGGGCTGAGGGGCTTGCGAGGGGGCCACTTCTGGCGGGGGGGCCCCCGTTACATAGGGGAGGCCCTGGTCAGGGACAGTCTCCCCTGAAGCAGCAACGTCGTCTGCAAAGGGATCCATTTGGTGGGCCCCCAGTCCCGAGGTGAGGAAGCAGAACTGCTCCATGAAGGCAAAGACCCTCTGGATGCACTTGACAGCCCGCCGGCTCAAGGGGGGGTCCCCGTCGGGAGTTTGCTGCAGCATGACTCTCAAGACGAGACAAAGAGCTACTATTGACTTGCTTCCCAGGGTCACCGCCAAGGCCTGCACTGTCTCCCACTCCTTGCTGGGGGCCACCAAGTTGCCCACGACAGCCACCTGGTGAAGAGTCCCCTGGACCACTGGTGAAGTCAAGAGGTCAGACAGAGATATCAACATGGACTCGCACTCCTCAGGGCTCAGTCCCACGACAGAAGAAAACTTCAGAGACGAAGTGCTCACAAGCCAGGGCAAGCTGAGGCCGGACTCTCCAGACCCCACACTGTCTCCTTTTCGAGAACTGTTTGAACTTGCTGCTGCACTTGTTGCAGAGGGGTGGATGCCGTCGGGGTCCGTGCTGCCGGGAAGTCTTTGTCTCTCCGCCACTGCGAGGACTTCTTGCAGCTCCCCGCGGCCAGTGGAGTCGCAGCAAATAACTGCCAGCGCAGCAACTCCGCGTCTGCAGGCGTGAATGGTCTCCAGCCGCGCCCGCGCTGCTCTTTGCTGCTGCTGGTACGGGCAGGGCCTCAGGCCAGTGCTGGTCTGTCTCCTCGGCTCCGGGGGCCCCTCCTCAGGCTTCCCAGCGTCGGCCCCCTCCAGCTGTTCCGCCGGGGGGTCCCTGCTAGAGACAGCGGGCATGAGCTTGCTTTGGACTCTTTTGCTTATTGGCAGCTGGACACTGCCACCCCTCTCGAGTGTCCCCCTGGAAGTGGCTCCTTCGTTGACGATTTCGTGGTAACTGGCGCAGAGGGACTCGAAGGCAGTGCTCAAAGAAATGGTGGCCTCGTTCAAAATGTCCCCCACTTGCTGCAGCACCTTCCGCCTCTCCCCCAGCAGGGACCGCTCCGAGGCCAGAATGACTGCCTGGTACAACTCCAGACTCTGTCTCACAAGCGGGTGCACCCGCAGCCAGCGAAGCACTTGCTGCGAGGGGGGCTTGAGGGCCAGGGCCTCGCCAGTGAGAGCTTCTTCCCTGGGGGCCTGCGAGGGGCCGGCCTGGCGGTCTTCGTCTGGGTCGACGTACTGCAGCGTGAACTCGGGGCCCCCGTAGACCACAGTGAGGGGGTCTTGGAAAACAAAGACTAAGTTCATTCGCCTGGGCTGGTCCACCTGCGAGTGCTGGTCATAGTAGACCTCCAGCACAGAGCCAATGCTCTCCCCAGAGACGTGCAGCTCTGTGTGCAGGCACCGCTGGCCACTTGTCTGGCTGTCCACTGAGAACTTCACACTCAAGTAGTCCCCCGGCTGGTAGGACACAGTGGTGGCGAACACGTCTTCCCAGAAAGGGGGGCAGCTGCTGGTGCGGAAGCCCACCACGTCGTTCCGGTCGAAGATGTCTTGCGCCGCAGACAACACGCAGTCCGCGGGGGCCACAGTGACTCCGAAACGGCCTGCAGACCAGACTCGAAAGCCTATCACGTCTGCTGCTTCCCCAGGCTCCACCTGCAGCGCCGGGAAGGTCAGCGGGGCCCTGCACAGGGCCACGCCCCCCAGGTTCCGCGCCCTTAGCACGTGCAGTGTGCGCCCGTGCACTTCGGCCTGAAAGTCTGCAGAGGGCACTGCGCACAGGAACACGTCGGACTGCGGCAGCGGGTCAAACACGCTGTCTCCCACGCTTCCAACGAGGGCCCCCCCCACGGGGGCCTCCCGCCTCCCGGAGGAGGGGGCCCCCCGGCCCGCCGCTGCCAGCGGCGAGGAGGAGTCCCCCGCGCTGCTGCTCTGCTGCACGGGTCCCTCTTGCGGGACTGAACCTGCAGTCGGGGCTGCCCCTCCAACCTGCACCTGCGGGGCCGGGAGCGGGGTCTGTGGTCCCGGGGCGGCCGCGCTCATGCTGCTGCTGCTGCTGCTGCTGGCCTCAGGAGGCCGCGCTGCTGCGTCTGCCGCGGCTTCAAATGGCTGCTTCTCTTGTGCAGCGGTAGGCTCGGAAGAGTCCTCGTGGAGCTGCACCAGAGACCCCGCGGCGTCAAGCAGACTGCCAAGACTGACAGCCTGGAGGGGCGGGAAAAGGCGGCAAGCCAAGTCGGAGCCTTCTCTTGAGAAGGGCTGGCGGCAAGTCCACAGCTGGGAGGGCTCTATGGCGGAAAAGGCAGCAAGTTGCGTTTCGTCTTCAACTCCCGTTGCAGACATGCGCCTCATGCACTCCGTGAGCAGTTTGTACAAATGCGTCTTCACCGGCAAAGTACGCAAAACGGTTTCCAGCTGCGTCGGGAGGCCCTTGAAGCCCATAATGAGAGTCCGCACGAAAAGCCGTGCAGCGAAATGCGAGGCGCAGACGCATCGCAGCAGCACGCAGAGGCTTCTGTCGATGAGCCTTTCTGTGAACAAGAGCTTCTCGGGGATCGGAGGGCTCGTGGGCACGCTCTGGTCTTCTTCTTCCGCCAGCGCTGAGTCCCCTTCAGCGAGGCTGGTGCCCCGGCTGGTGCCCCGGCTGCCCGCAGCCACGTCGCTGCCTCCTTCTTCGTCGCTGTACCTGTCTCCGTCTCCTCTGGGAATGCCGCACAAGAAGTTGCGGTAGATCTGGGGGTAGTCCGCGCAGCTGCGAATCCCCAGGCTGTTGCTGCGGTGCATTTCCCGCAGAGTCTGTTCCTGCAGCTCCGCCAGCCGCTGCAGCGTGCTGAAGGTCAGCTTCAAGGCCTCCACGGCAATGGCCTCGCGCCTCAGAGTGCCGTGCAGGCTCGAAGCTGTGGGGCCCTCGCCGGGGAGCTTGCTGCTGGCTTGGGGGGACTGGAGACCGCCACGCTGCAGCGCCGCAGCAGCAGGCACCGGAGAGCCACTCGCAGCAACGGGATCATCGGGGCCTACCAGGATGAACCACAGGGCTGCCTGGAAAGCCTGCCACGCACTCTGCTGCAGCTTGAGGCCCGCACCCTCGTATTCACACTGCCGCGCTGCAGCATTTTTCGCCTTTGCTTCCGAAACGCCCACGGACTCCCGCTGCAGGCAGAAGAGGCTGTCGTCCCCTCTGCAGCCAGGGCCCCCCAAGTTCGTGCAGGGCAGCTTCGGGGCCTCGCTGCTCCCCTCAGCTCTTTGCGCAGCAACAGGGGAGCTGCTGTCCGCCGTCTGGGCCGGCCTGCAGCGGTAGTCCATTTTCCCAGAAGGCCCCTCGGGGCAGCCCCGCGGGCCTTCGTACACCAAGAGGCCCCTGGAGGCCCATACATGGATCCACAGAGTGCGGGAAAAAGAAATGGACTTCTCCAGCGCGAAACCTTCTTGCTGCAAACTGGAGCACTCGGGCTTGAAGGCCGAGCCGTCGGAGCCTTCTCTGGGGTCCCCCAGCACCTCCAGCTGCAGCCGAACATCTGCAATGGAGTCTTCGCTGCCGTCGGGCTCTCCAGCTGTGCTGCCTGAGGGAAGAAGCGGCAGCGAAGAGACAGAAGCAAACAAGAGGCTAGCTGCGTTCAAGCGCAACAGAGACTCAGCAAAAGACAGCGAAAACAACACGACAAATGCACCTCCCACGGCGCAAGCAGCAGAACCAGCGGCGGGAAATAGCAAAGTCAGACTCAAGAAACGGGCCCAGCAGCAGCACTTGACTGAATTACAAAGCTCGCCACAAAGCCAAAAGAAGGACAGTGTTTGCAGAGGAGCGGGGCGCTGACGCACCGAAGGAAAAGAAGAGAAGAGGGCCTGCAGGGTTTGCGGAGATGTCGTCGAAGGCCTCGACGCCGTCTTCGCGGCCTCCGTCTTTGGCGCGGAAGCCTCCAATGGCCCTGAGGGGGAGGGCGAAGGGGCTGGCCAAGTGCCTGCGCTGCAGGTAAAGCAGCACCACCCAGCCCCCCCAACTGAGCTTCTCCCGCACCCGAAAGCCCTGGCGAATGAGGCCCCCGTCAGAGCTCCAGCGGCGGCTGTCGCAGCAGCGCACGGCCACGCGGGTGACAGCAGCAGCAAGCGGCAGGTGGGTGGCTCTGGGCGAGGGGCTCGAGCTGAGTCTTTCGAGTGAAGAAAGAGACCCTGGAAAGTGCTTGAACAGGAGCTTCTCGCCCTGCCACGCCAGCTGAGCTGCTGCTGCTGCTGCTGCTGCTGCGGCCGCCGCCGCCGCCCCTCTCCCGCCCGTCGCAGCAGCAGCGGCTGCTGCAGCAAACGCCTCCGCCGACGAACCGCGGCAGCAACCCGATGCATGCACCATCTCCTCCGTGACCTCCCGCGCTAAAAAGGCCTCCACAGAAAGGCCGCGGCTCCTCCGCTCTGCTGACAGCAGGCGCAGCGCCACCGGGTGCGCAAGAGTCAGCAGGTGCTGCAGGAAAAGCACTATCGAGCTGCTGTGGTCCAGTGGTTCTGTGCCCAGACACAGCTGCAGCGTCAGCAGCTGCAGCTCTGCGTCCATCCAGCAGCAGTCCGCAGGGTGCAGTGTAAAGACACCCGCGGCCGAGGGAAATGCCATTGCCTTCATGTCTTCCATGTGGCGGTGAAGGTGCAGATCGAAAACAATCCTGAGAAAAACACCAAAAACCGCATTTGCACTGGAAATTCTCCCATGCAGCAGCTGCTGCTGCTTCTCCCAAGGCTAGTGGCGCTGCTGCTGCTGATGCTGCTGCTGCTGCTGTTCAAAGGACTTTCTAGAAGCATGAAGCGATGCCGGCCTCAGACCATTCTGCAGCAACTGGAGCAGTTCTGACGTTGTCTTTGACTCCAAACCCTGAGCTCACCGAACAAGTTCTCCCAAGGAAGACTGCAGCGCGTCTGCAAAAGGCTGAAACTTCCAGAAAGCTGCTGTGCTCATGAGGCAGGCCGCCCCCTCAGCTGCTTTGGAAAAGCCGTCTCTCTGCAGCGCAGCAAAGGCGGAGCTGGAGCCCAGCAACGCCACGCCCAAAGAGTGCAGCAGCCGCAGCATGAGGCAGCCCGCGTACCTCTTGGCTGTGCCGCTGGGGGGCTTTGCCAGGGGCCCCCTGCAGCCGCTGTCTCTCGCGCTGGGGCCCCCCGCCAGGGGCAGCAGCAGCTCCACAATGAGGGGCCACCGCAGGGCCTGCCGGCCCCCGCTGTCGAGCTGCTGCAGCGCGCTGCCGCCCTCGGAGCTCGCCGTGGTGCAGCTGATGTCTCTGCAGCTCACGTCGCTGCCCTCAGACTCCAGGGCCCTCCCGTGGCCCTCGCCCACAAAGCCCCCGTCGGCCGTGCTGCAGGGCTGCAGCCCCTGCTGCAGCCCCTGCTGCAGCCCCCCGGAAAAGCGGCCGCAGGGGGCGGAGGGGGCCCCCCCGTAGGCCCTCCCGGCGCATGCAGCCGGCGGGGCTGTTTCGAACCTTTTGCTGCTGCGGGCCGCGAGCTGCTTCGAAGAGTCCGCGGGAACACCGAAGCTCTCGCGAGCGCCGGTAGAGCCCTCCCCCAGCAAGTCCGAGCTGCCCAAGCTGGGCCGGAGGCTGCAAACTGGCAGCAGCCGCTGCGTGGCAGCAGCAGACATGAGGCCTTCTTGGGACCTCTGGGTGCCCACGTCCAGCAAAGAAGGCGCAGAGAGCCCTGCAGTGCAGAAGCCAGCAACCAGCAGCGCCTTCATGCTGCGCAGGATGACGTAGCGAATCAACGAAGACATTTGTTCAACCAGCAGCACCCGCCGCGTGGTTTGCACGTCGGCGCCGTTTATTATGAAGTTCACTAAAGACGCCACGCCGCCTTCGCTGGCTTCTTCGGACTGCCAGGACTTCGAAGGCTCGCTGGCCCTCTTGAGGGCCTCCCAGCGCCACCGCTGGGGCCCCTGCAGCCCCACGAGGTTCGGCGGGAGGGTCAGGAGGCCGTTGCTTCTTCGGCTCCGGAGTCGCCTGCTCGCCCCCTCTGCGTTCCAGTTGCCTGCGCCGGCAGCAGCAGCAGCAGCTGCTGCCGCTGCTGCAGACGCCATGCGCGCCCCGGGGCCCCACGGCTGCGAGGCGCTGCGCCTGTTGCGGCGGCTGCCGCTGCGCAGAAAACGCTTCAGCAAATACACACTGCGGGCAACGCTGAGGCTCGCGGGGAGTACGATGCCCCCCCGGAAAGGCTTCCGAACAGGGTCCTCAGCAGCGAGGTGAAGGCGGCTTCCGGGGTCCGTGGAGATCTCGACCCGCTGCTGCTGCTGCTGCTGCTGCTGCTGCAGGCCCGCGCAGGCCGCGCGCCGCGGGCGCGGCTGGGCCTGCCCCTGCGCCCAGCCCAGCTGCTGGCGCGCCGCACCCCCAGAGCCCTCCACCAAGTCCGGGCAGCTGAGCCCCCGGCTGAGGGCCTCCGCCTCCTCGCGGGCTGCAGCCCCCAGGCGGTGGCAGCCCACAATTTGGCGGCCCCAGCGGCGAAACAGCAGCAGCCTGTGGGGCCCCGCGAGGCCCCGGGGGTAGCAGGTCAGCAGCCACCTGCAGCGAGACACAATCTCCCGGGCTTCTTCTGCGCGCCGCAAGTGCTGCTGCCGCTCGGCCTTGGAGGAACTCATGGGCGAGCTGCTGCTTGCTGCGTCTCCGCCGCAGGACTCGTCGGAGTCCGAGAAGGCCAGAGGAGTGGGGCTGCTGCAGTCAGCCTCTGCTGCAGCAGCTGCCGCTGCTTCCTTGCTGGCCCGGTGCTCGGCTCGCTTCCGCTGCCACTTCTCCAGAAGCTGCATCACAGCTCTTCTCGCCAAAGAAGACACCAAGTTCAAAAGGGCCTCCGTCTCTTCCCCCTGCCGCTCCCCGCAGCCCGGTCCGCCCTCGGGGCCCGGGGGCCCCTCGTACCCCAGCAGGTGCAGCAGAGCTGCCCCAATGGCCCGCTGCACTGCAGCAACTCGCGGGTGGAAGCCCGCGAAGTGCTGTCCGAACTCCGTTTCTTCGCCGTCGCCCTGCAGCAGCCGCAGCAGCGAGGGGCAGCAGTTGCCCTGCGACCCCGTGTCCCCTGCTGCTGCTGCTGCTGCTGCAGGATGCTCCGCCGGCCACACCGAGGGCCCCACGCGGTGGCTCACTCCCAGCGGAAAAGACCCAGGGGGCCTCCTTGCTGCAGCCACAGCTCTCAGACCGTCAGCAGCTGCAGCGTCAGCCCCGCAGCCCGCGATGCTGCTAAGTCCTGGACTTCGGAGGTCTCGGCACTCGAGAGTGAGCCCTTTGATGAGCTCCCCAGGCCTGTGTGCCTGGAGGGCCTTCAGGGGCGGCTGGATCTCCTGGGGCCCGGAAGTCCCCTGGGGCCCCGGGGGCCCCTGGGGGCAGCTGGGGACCCCCGGAAGGCGCTGCGTCGCCGCCAGAAAGTCCTGGATGGCGCAGGGCAGGGGGATGTCGTTGATTCTCTGGAGCTCAAAAACCCGGGGAGAACAGTCTAGCAGCAGCAAAACACTGGACCTGAGGGCATCTTCGAGGGGCCTCAAAGGGTGGCCTTCTTGGGCCGCCACGTAGCGGGCCCCCTTGACCAGCAGGGGCGGCAGAGACTCGAGGGCCTTTGCTGCTGCTGCGTCTGGCTGCCCCTGTGGGGCCCCACAGGCTGCGTGGGAAAGGTCTAGCCTGGCCAGGAGCGGGGGAAAGCCACTGAGCAGCTTCAAAGTGCTGGAGGTGGTGGAGACGATCCCCAGCAGCTGCTGCACCAGCGGGTGGAGGCAGCCCCTTGCTGTGTCTTCAGACACGCAGGAGTTCAGCTGCCGCAACAGCAGCAAACTGCGCACTGCCAGCTGCAGGATGCTGGGCCACAGCCGCAGCACAGCGCCCACGACCTGCGCCGCAGCTTCCGCCGTCCCCTCCGCGAGCCCTACGAGAGCCCGGCCCGCTTTGCTGCTGCTGCTGCTGTTGCTGCTGCTGCTTCTTGCGGGGTCGCTCTCCTCCGCGAGCACCACGAGCCGCTGCAACAGAGGGGTCAGAAATGTCAGCAGCGGCACAACCCCACCCCCAAGGAAGGCGCAGCCCTCAAGCAAAGTGGGCCCTGGAGTCCCCATGGGGCCCATGAGGCAGCAGGCCTGCAGCGTGCAGGCCCCGCAGGTTTCCGCAAGGGCAGCGGGGTCTGCAGCAGCAGCAGCTGCTGCTGCTGCTGCCAAGGCAGCCACGCGCTGCTGGCCCGCGAAGTCCTCCGCGCCAGTCCCAGCCCCCTCCACCAACGCAGCCACGCCGGGGGCCCCCATGGAAACTTTGTCGGAAATGATGCAAAGGAGACTGTTGGCTGTGCGAAGAGCAGCCATGAAGAGTTCCTCCAGGCAGACACAAGTTGCTGCTGCAGACATTCTGGCCTTCATGTCCCGGGCCAGCAGGCTGCCCCCAAACAGCAGCTGCTGCGGGCGCTGCCCACACGCGCTGGGGCTCCACATCGCCCGCAGCCAGTCCTGCTGCAGTGTAGGGAAGGCCCCAAGCAAGGGCTGGGCCAGGGGGGAGCCCCCGGAGAGGGCCGCGGGGGACCCCGCAGCTGGGTCTGCTGCTTCACTGGGGCCCCTGCGGCCTTCGCCGAACTTCACTCCGAGGCCCAGGGGGTCCCCTCGCCGCGGCTGCAGCCGCCGCAGCAGCCACGAGAGCCACAGCTCCGCTGCCTGCCGCGCCAAGTGCGCAGCCACGCGCGCAGCCGGGTTGCTGCTG